TTGCTCTGTTTCTGGAAATGCAAGGACACCCTATTTCTGCCCCAAACTTCTGTCCAAAGGTCTGACCGACTGGGCAATGGCCGAGCAGTCCTGGGGGTGAGGCGGGGAGCAATCCATGCTCCCAACTGTCTTTCTGGTAGTGGACAGTAGAACAGCCTCCATGCATGTTAAGGCTACTGCCTTCAAAGCAAGCAAAGAGATGGGCCAGAGGGTGTGAGCCTCAGCCCAGCTTTGGGTCTCTGGGCTGCTCACCACATCCGAAGGCGGCCCTGCCTGTAAATCTGTCCTCCCCTTGCTGCCTGCCTTACCTGTGCAACCCTGAATCTGGGCATTTCCCCAGCACCAGCCCGGGAAGGGAGACTGCGGGACCCTCCCTGCAGAGCCGGTCCTTGGTGAAGAAAGAGTGCCCTCTAGTGGGCCTTGGCTGGAGCTGCTCCGGACCCGGGTTGCCCCAGCAAGGACAAAACGCCAGCGCTCAGCTCTCCTGCCGAGGATCGTGAATGCGCCTTTGGGTTTAGTTTGTTTTTCTCCTCGTGTGAAGAAAAAGAAATAAATAAAGGACAGCAGGAGACCAGTTGTGAGAGCATCTCCAGCAGTGCTGTGACAGTCCCTTTATCTTGGCATTTTTACCAAAGAATTAACCCCAGGGCCAGCAAGGGCAGCAAGGGAGAGGTGACATCAGATGCTTTTTAAAGGGCTTGTGACAATTTCTATATAAATCACTTACCTGCCCTGACCGTCTCTCACGTAAGGGGGATGATTGGTGAGAAAGAAATCCCTTTAAGAAGTATTCCCGAAAGGGTTGTCTTTTGGGGTGATCCTTGTGGGGACCGCAGGTCCACGGCAGGTGATTGCATTTTCGTAGTGGATGTGTACGGGCAGACCTGCCCATTAAGCCCCTACGTGCGCTGGCATAAACGGGGGATTGGGCCCTTTAAAACCGGTTTCAGTAAAAGCAGCCGGCTGGGGAGGCAGAGGTGGGGGCAGGGCGGGGGCGGGGGCGGGCCCCCCCTGGGACAAAGGAACTCGATCAGACGCGATGTTTGCCGGATTAGGTAGCAGCCACGCTGGTTGAAATTGGATCTTGGAGGATGCGTGTTAACATCTCTGGTGCCCTGGCTAAAGGTTCGTTTGAGTCTTGCATGGTGCCACTGAGATAAACAGGAGCTTTTAAGTACTCATTTTGTCTCCCCGTCGCCAGTGCTGGCTTCAAGCAATAAATAGGTAACCATCAGTTCTGCTTAGACGTATCACCCTTCACATTTATTTATTTAACGTTGGTGGGTTTTTTTGAACCGACTACCTGAATAGTTTCCTTGTCAGTGCATCCCAACACCCATTTTTATAGTGGCACATTCAGATTCTCCCCTCGTGAGTAGAGATGTGTGCATACTGTGTTTATGGGGCCAGGCACGCCGCCTCCAAGCACACAGACACAGCCCAAGACCCACAGAACCACGATCTTCTAGGTAAAATAGTGCAAGGTGAAGGGCTGTTCTTGTTTATATCGTTTCCTATATATCTGGGGGGAGGGGTGGCTTCTGACAGATACTCTTGAAATTTTCCATTTTCATAATGATTCAAGTATAATTTAAAGGGTATTCGGACAGGGCTCGTTTTGTTTTCCCACATCTTTCCATTCTTTTATATTCTTCAAGCAATCTATATATGTTATAGTACATTGTGTTTCTATCATACTAGTTCCTTACTGGCCACATTTAGAAATCAATTATATTAAATTTTAGTGAATCCAAATATTTCTTTTAAAGCGTTTTGGATTCCAGGATTCATAAAATGATGTAAAGGCTAAGCGAAATGCTAACATTTTTACTCCATCTATGTTTTTTTATCCCTGACTAAATGTATACGTGAGGGGGGGAAAATGACCTTCATACCTGGTGGGGGGGAAGGTCCGTGTGAATTAGTGTTCCACACTCTGTGACTGTCCTGGAGCTTCCGGGGTGGGTGGGAGCTTGCAGCGCATGCTTTCCGTGTCCTCTGCCACCCTTAGCAGTTTACTCTTCCTTCTTTTATTTAAAACCAGTTCAATTTCAAGACCAAGCAGAATACTAATTACGTAGGATAGTTGGCGCTTCCCATTGATTGTTTAGAAGGAACAGTGCAGCTGGATGAGACCGAGAGGTCTGGACAGGAGGGCTGTCCTCGGAGCTCAGCGGCGGCCACAGGCCCACGGTCACCTGCCCAGCCCCTGGGGGATCGGGGACCGGCACGCTGGCCTGTGGATGCCGCCTCTTTGCTTCCCCTGCTTCTCAGAATGAACTGACCTTTGCTAGAGGAATAAACTAACAGAGCTCGTGAGGCAACCTCAGCCTCGGGCACTGTGGGGGGTCTGGACCGCACCTCGTGGGCAGAGTGCAGGCCGGCCCCAGGCGGGCAGGACCTGACCAGTAAGAGGACGCTGTTCTTTTCCTCCTTGCTACAGACCAGAAATCACTGTAAGATCTTTCAGTGTCGGGTCACATGCCCAAGGGACTGGTTATGTGTAGCCAGGAGGACCCGCTTGAAGGCATTCCCCCCCTCCGGGCTCGTGTGTCACCAGCCCCAGCTTCTCTGAGGTGCAGGGGGTGGTTCCCGTCAGCCTAGGTGGCTGCTTTCCCAGGGTCTGCGGCATCTTTGGGAGTTTACTGGACATGAGATTCAGGAAGGTGCATTAGAGAATAGAATTTTGCCCCAGCATACTCGTAATGGCCTAGCTAAAGTGGCACAGTTACAGTCATTTAGTAGGAGTGGCTCAGAGGTGATTCCTTTCTTCATTTTAAAATGGCCCATGAATATTTTTGTTGGTAAAGCAATTAAAATTCCCTAGAGAAACCCAGAAGCCCCCCCTGCACAGTGCCCTCCCCTGGAGGGGACTCCCTAGGCCGTGGAGCTGAGGAGGAAGGGGCTGCCGAGCTCTAATACCAGTGCTGTGGGGAGAGGAGGGAGGGGCCCCCCACGCCTTTAGGGGCTGCTCTCCCGGAAGTGGGTAGGCCCTCAGTTACTTTCTTCAGGAAGCCTTTGTTAGCGGTGCTCAGTTCTTTAGAGGACTTTGGAGATCCCAGTAAATGAATTCCAGGAACTGAATAACAGGACTAAATCTCTATTATTCAAAGATCAGTCAACGAGGCAATTGCCCGTTTTGTCTCCTGAGCCTACAGCAGGATTTCACTGCAAAAAGAGCCCACGAGTAAACCTCAGAGATGCCCTAACCTGTGCTGTCACCAGCACCTCCGGCAGAATGTTAATTAGCGGTCAGGTGTGAAAGGACAGGAGTGGGGTCCTGAAGCCTTTGGTGTGCGTGGGTGCCGACACCCTCCTTTCCTTGGCCAGCCGCCCTCCCTGCTCCGCCCTCCCCTCCGCCCACCACGGAGCTGCATTCGCACCCATGCCTCCTGTCCTCTGCTCCTAACGGTCACCACTGGTCCATGTGGCCGGACCTCCTGCTCAGCCGTCTCGTGTTCCATGAAAGCAGCGCCACGCCTCCCTTCCGCCCAGGCCTTGCGATTCCCTTCTAACAACTTTCAAGGCTGGTTCTCATCATGCCTGTGGGCAGCCAGGGGCATGTGTCTGTGTCGGTGTAGACATGACGGACCCCTCTGAGCATCTGCACGTCCCCTCCTATCGAGTCCATGCCCGCCTTCCCCGTCACACCCCATGGGCTGCCTTGCCAGGGCTTGGGGGGCAGCTGGTGCTGGCACACCCCCCTGGGAGATGTGTGCCCCGCCTGGAACAGCCCTCCACCGGACAGCCACCGGCCTCGTAGTCCCTGCCATTGGCATCCCGTCCCCGAAATGTGACCGAACACGGGCCTCCTCCTCTGCCTTTGGCCGCTTTTCTCTTTTCCTAACTTGCCCCAAATTTTTTCGATTTTTTAAAATTGGGAATTCTTTACCTGTTCCCTCTCAACAAAGACTTGGCTGCTTCCAACTAAACTGGGGTTTAGATGAGTGATTTATTTTATGGCAGGTTGTCTGACGGTAGTAAAAAGGGACTGCCTAGCTCTTCTGCTGATTTACTAAATCATTTGATCTCTTTGAGTAGGAATCACGCCCCCTCCCCCGGGCGGTCGCTGTGTTTTCATAGAAAGCTGCTGTCTGGTCACCACCTCTAGGCTTCTCCGAGCCCCGGACCCAGCTTGTTGAAGGGCCCCACCCTGGTTCCAGGGACCGAGCCCTTCCCACCTGGAACCGACAGATCTCAGCTTGGGGAGACCTCCTTACTCCAGGGCCAATTTTTTTTATATATATATTCTTTCTGTTTCACATTTTACTCTATTTTATTTTATGTTTTTGTATTGAGGAGTAATTAACATACATATGTCTTCTTGCAGGTGTAGACTTCTCCATACTCTCTGCTTGTCCAGGGGGAATGGTCTTAAGATTTCACTAACTCACTGGATTCACCTGGCTTAGGTTATTTTGGAAATGAACATTGAGATGGATCAAAATTACAGAGTCAAAGAGTGTAAAGCCACAAACTCACAGAAATCTAAAATGAGATATGAAGAAGGAAATGCTTTTCCCTGAATTAAAAACTTGGCAGTTTGGGGATGGGAGCAAAAATTATATTCTAACTCATGTTTTGTAGCTTCGACATTTCTTTTATTGTGGTGAAACATATGTAACAAAAGTTACCATTTTGACCATTCTTAAGCAGACAGGTCGTGGCATTAAGTACATTCACGTTGTTGTGTTATCATTACCACCAGCCCCAAGTGAAACTCTGACCCCATTAAACACTGCCTACCCCCTCTGCCCTCTTCCCCAGGCCCTGGCACACTGGTCTGCTTTCTGCGTCTGTGACCTGGACTCTCCAGGCACCTCATTTAAGCAGAGTGTAATTGATTTTTGGACCAGCCTTTCACCCATTCCTTAGATACCACATTGCAAGCATTTTGGAGACAGGCTTAGCCAGGAGGCACAGCTGTGTTGTTTTTGTTTCTGTCTTTAGTTTTTCCCCTGGGTTACTGTTAACAACCCCCTCTTTGTGTCTTCCTGCAGTTTTGAGTATCCGGGGAGCCCAGGAGGAGGAGCCCACGGACCCCCAGCTGATGCGACTGGACAACATGCTGTTGGCAGAAGGGGTGGCTGGCCCCGAGAAGGGGGGTGGCTCGGCGGCGGCGGCCGCGGCCGCAGCAGCGTCAGGAGGGGCGGGTTCAGACAACTCAGTGGAGCATTCCGATTACAGAGCCAAGCTCTCACAGATCAGACAGATCTACCACACGGAGCTGGAGAAATATGAGCAGGTAACCCAGCCGGAAGGGGCGGCGGGCACCCCGGGCCCTTTAGCAAAGGGTGGCAGAAACGTAAACCAGGGGCTGGCGGAGGCAGGGGCCAGCCTTCCCTGGAGGTGGGCATTCTCACGTCTAGCGTTTCCTGCCTCACTGCAGAGCCACTTGCTAAACATGAGTCCACCAACTCCTTGGTCTCCACTATTAAAACCCAGGCAAACAGGGCTAATGGCATTTTAAAAAGTTAGGTTGTAAATGATGATTTTAGTCAAGATAGAGGACACTGAGTACCTGGACCTCCAGAGCATTTGTCCCTGGCATGCAGCCTAGGGGCTGTCCGGATGACACGGGTCATTAGCTAAGTCACCACCTGGCCTGTGGGGAGGGCGCTGGGCTCCTCTGCCCTCTTTTGCCCTGAGGATTCCTCGTCTTCTGGGTGTGCATGGAATCCTCTGGGAAAGGACACTCAGACTTGGCCTTAACGTCTCTCACTCTGCCCACGCCCAGTTCAACTGAAAATCAGACACATTCTCCTTGATACATAATGGTGTGCAGACTGATACACACCTCCCTCTCTAAAAAGAGTAGAGGGTCTCAGGGGGCCCCTGGAGTCAAAGTTGACAGTCCACCAATGGTGTGTGGGACCCAGTGGCCCACATAATCTGCCACAAAAGCTGGTGGTGCATGCCAAAAAGCCGTGGATTTGGAGCCAAGGATACCCCAGGGCCATGAAAGCCCCATAAAGGAAAGGATATAAAGGCTTTATGTTCCAAAGCGTGTATAAATGTAGGGTATTCTAGTTACGACAGAGCCCCTCTCTCACAGAGCCCTCCCCCTGCCCACAGGCCCCTGCATGCGCTGTGGTGCTTTACGAGGGGACCCTGAGCACCAGCCTTACCCCCATCACTCAGTGGCAGATATGTCTGGGTCACTTCTTTGGCCCCCACAATGTCCTCAAGGTCTACAGCGAATTCACTTTCATTTGATTGTTGGGTTTCTGGCTTTCTTTTCTTTTTTAAGAGTCACAAAAGAATAGGAAGAAAGCCCAGAAGGCAGAGCGTTCAGTGTCCAGTTATGACTGCCTAGGTAGAAGGCAAAATGCAAACTTAATGGGAATTTTTAAATTTTAAAATAGAAGTAGGTGCTTTAAAATTTAAAGTGAGAGAAGTTTCATTATTGCACTTCTGCCTACCTTTGGAATGGATTTCTGCAAAGTCCCTTCCGTGATAAGGGAAAGAAAGAAATCTGTGAGGCTTGATGGCCAGCTTGGGGAAATTCAGCGTCAGATGGGTATAGGGAGGGCCCCACGGGAGGGACCTGTGCGTCATCACCCTCCACCCTCCTGGGAGAGAACACAGGTTCCTGCCGCAGTACTGGCTCATGGAGACCTGTCTCCAGATGCCACGAGATGCTGAGCGCAGATGGCGGCTGATCCATGACAGATTTCCCCGCCTGGCCTGTGAGGTTAGAGTTCAGAGTCTGCCCTAGCCCCTGGGGTAACTTGGGCAGACAGGTGGGGCGTTCCCTAGAGAGGCTTTTCCTACCCACCTCCACAGCTAAGCCTGGTGTCTCCAAAACCGCCTGTCTAGATCTGTCATCCCGGTTCACATACCAAGCTCCAGGCACCAGAGTCCCGAGTGCAGCCTCCCCAGCTCAACCGACAGCAGGAATGGATGTCAGGCTGAGGGTGTTGAAAACCAGCTTACGTCTTAGCTCAGGTTGCCAGCAGCATAGAAGAGCTGCCTCCTTCCTTGATTTACGCCTGCTGTCACTCTTCTGTGCTCATGCAGAATGAGGAAAACCTTTTTACCAACATAACCGCACTTGCTCCTCGAGGTAATTTTGTGGTTGGGTACCCAAGACGGGCACTGTCATCAGGTTTTCCATTTTGATACAGGTCAGGAAGTGGATGGCAGCAAGGTTAGGGGATGCCTGTGGGTCACACGTCCAGCGAGGGATGGCGTCTGCCCTGGAATCTGGTTTCTGACCCTTCATCCAAGGGCTTTTACTGGAAGAGTGTAGGACTCCCCTAAATGTGGAGAGAGAGAGTGGCCTTCTGTAGACAGTGAAATAACAGGCTCATCTTCCCTGTTACTTGCTTTCATTAGGTTGCCAGCACCTGAGAGGCTAGGGATAAAAACTGCCCACCTTTCGACACTTCTCATCTCCCTGTTCTGTATATTAAAGATGCTGAAAATTGGGAACTTAAGGAAAAACTCTGTCAAGGCAAATTATGTAAGCGTTGTCTGTATTATGATTCTGAAATAGAACTAAAAAATCATTTTCTTATGTATATGGACTTTTCTGGGTAAGAAGTGAGTGCTGCTTAACACACTCCATGTGCTTAATAATTTATTAACGTTAGTCATATTGTTAATTTTACTAAATAGCAAATTGTAGGGAAATTATACCTACATTAGGCTTTTAGTATGTCTGAGAGGTATAGCCTCTTCACTTTTCTGTAATAACCATTCCTCTTGGGAGCTTAAACATGGAAACCTCAGTAAAGCATGAACGTCACTCTGCTTTCTTCGTCCCTGGATGAAGTTACCAGGTTGACTATCTAGTTGATTCTGTTTTGGTTTTACTGTCATGGTGGCAGATAACCGTGCAATCAGTTAGCTTCCTAGTTATTAACTACCACAGCCTCCTCACACTCCCCTCCCCACCTCCCACCCCCCAAAAAAACACCTGAATCAGCCATTGTTGCATCCTCAGGTTATTAAATAAAGAAGGCTTCTAGAGACTTCCATTAGAAAGGAAGGAAATTGTTTTGTTCATTCAGTGGGGTGGACAAACCACTTTTTCAGCAGCTCATGTTGGTACTAAGGTATTCAAGAGCTGTTACACTCTAACAGATAAAACCACGCTGTCAGAAACCTGGACTATAGTCCAGGTGCTATTCACAAAGAAGAAATCCACTGGGGCCCTCTCTCTAAGGCTGGGCCGGGCCAGGTCAGGCCAGCTCGCAGCTAAGAGAGTCCTCAAATCCCAGTTGTGTCCATTGCTGGACTAGAAGCAAACGCAGTTTGGGGTAAGGGAAGATGGTCCGCACACAGTCCAAGCTTAAACTGCGGGGCCTCCAACCAGGTTTTCCCCGAGGGTTTCTCTGAGTCTGCGGCTCCTGGAGACACCCTCGCCCTGGAGCCTGGGGAGAGCCCTTTCAGAAACCCCCAGCCATCTGGGGCAGCCGGAGCAGTTGCTGTGGGAGGGGACTGCCTTTCTGACAGTCTGCAGCAGGGTGTTCCCCTCACGGAAGCCTTCGGCCTGGGTGGGTTCTGCTTCACAGCGCTGGTAACCCCAGCCGCCCATGGGGCTGTCGCATTGTGAACGGCTGACCTAAGGAAGACTACAGCTTCCGAAGGGGCTGCACTTGGGGGAACAGAGGAGGGGGCGTGGGGAGTCCAGGGCCCGGGGAAATGTGGATCCCTCTGTTCCATCCGTCCAGCGCGGGCTTGGAACTCTGCGCCCCTCTCCGTTGTGCGTCCCTGAGCAGCTGTGGAGCAGCTGCCTGGCCGAACCTCAGCAGCAGGTGGGAAGACCCCACTGTCTGTCTGTGGCACCGTAGAAGGGCCCCAGGATACAGTGCCCTCAACACACAGCAAATGCTGTGAGTGTTTTTATTCACCGTAATGAAGCACATGATTATGAGCCAAGCACTGTGGCTTCCCAGTGGAAAGCAAGTGCACCTGACAGTGCCGTCACGCCAGCCCTCCTGCCTGTGAGCGCCCGCGAGGCAGGGAGGCTGCAGCCCAGTGGAACGCGGCCTTTCCCCCGAAGGCCAACTGGGAGGCTTGCTCTGTGCCTGGCCCTCTGTCCCCACCCCGTGGCCACGTGGAGTCCCAGCCAACTCGCTGCCGCATTTTATTTCCTTCCTTTGGTGTACAGGTGAGTGGGGTGGTCAGGGGTGTCCAGACAGGAAGAAGCTTCTAATACAGATCTTGTGTTTACTTCATAATTTTCTTGTTGGAGAGATGGACCTGATCTATGGGTTTGTCTTCAGTAAATGCCTGCAGAGTGGAAAGGTGTTTATGAAAGCCCCACATATTTTTTTTAACCAGGAGGGAAACTAAAGCCTGGAGAAGTTTATGCAATCATGGTAACATGTTGGATTTCTGAGTTCTCTGTCTTTTGAAGAGATAATGACACACCATTGTCGGTGACCAGACAGGCACACAGTAACTCATTCAACCCTTGCCACGCCCGTAGGGGTGGGTATTGTTGTGCCCATTTCCCGGATAAGGACGATGAGGCCTGAAGGCCCGCAGCCCAAGGAGCCCCAGAGGCAGGGCCAGAGTGCAGGCAGTGTGGTCTCGCCTCAGCCCACCGGGCTCTGTTCCTGTGAATGGTTTACTCAGCCACGGCACAGAGCAGGGCTCTACGGGGCTGGGAATGACGAGATCCCCTCTCAGATGAGTAAAACAAAGCGTGGAGTAGTGAAAGCATTTGCCCCAATACTCATGAGGCAGGGTCGAGACCCAGACCTCCCAGCCTCCAGTGCAGACACAGCCCAGTGGATGCGGCTGCCTGTGTATCTTCGACCATCCAACCTCCAACGATTTCTTCAAGAAACGAGCAGCGCGTGTGTTGCCAGCAAACCTGAGGGGCCCTGGGCTGTAAGGACAACGTCACAGCCGTGTCCCCATGCATGAGTGTGTTTCTGTTGCACCATTAAGCTGGAGCCCTTAGAGTCTTTAGTTTTTCAGCTCTTAAAGATCAGCTTGCCTTTTCTGCTACAAATCTAATCTAGTTTTACAACCTTGCAATGACTTAATTGTGAATAGATATTTTATCAGATGTTCAGCTAAGGAAACCAGACTTCAGATGTTAAGCAGTAGTAACGAAGAGTGAGGCCTTGGTGTTCAGAGGAGCAATTTCAGGCTCTGGGAGGGGACGAAGTGCCTGGCCCGGCATAGAAAGTGTTCAGGCCCTGTCTCGGCTGCTCCTTCGGCTGTGAGCCTTTGGAAAAGGCCCTGCATCTCTCTGGGTCACAGTTTTCCCAACTATAACGTAAGGCGGTAGGAAAACGATCTCCAGTTCCTCTTGCAGAGCTGATGGTCCGTTGGTCTGGACCTGGAGCGCTCCGCCTTCTGCAAGGATAGCTCCTGCGTCCCCTCAGTCATGTTTTGATGCTGTGTCCGTAAGACCACTGAGGACAGATTCCCTTTGTGTTGTAGACATAGAGGGTCTTCAGAAGGCCAGTGTGGGAGGGGCTTCTTACAATATAATTAGAAGTAGAAATAGATTGATGAGAAATCTCCCAGGAGAATTACCAAAGCTCTTAATTCCATGATTCCACTCTCTTGGCTGTTTGTACCTCCCAAAATGGAACATTTGAAAACAAAGTTCATGTTACATTTGACCCCAAACTCCCTTTGGCTCTCGACCTTGAGTGTTTTGAAGTGTTTCACTAGGATCACATTCTCACCTTTTACTGTGGTTAAGTTGTAGGGGAAAAAATGGTTAAGAATTTTCTTTTCCTTTTAAAAAAAATCTGCATCGTGATCAAAAGTCGGAGTCAAATGTGCTGAAGGGGATTTTGAGGCAGTCATTTATCTTATCCCTCTGATTTGACACACATACCACAACCTGGCCCAGTTTTCTCGGCTGGCACACAGACTAAGGTCCAGGACCTGACGCGCTGCTGTGGGCCCTCAACCACCCCATTGTCTGCCGTTCTAGGCATGCAACGAATTCACCACCCACGTGATGAACCTCTTGCGGGAGCAGAGCCGGACCAGGCCCATCTCCCCGAAGGAGATCGAGCGCATGGTCAGCATCATCCACCGCAAGTTCAGCTCCATCCAGATGCAGCTCAAGCAGAGCACGTGCGAGGCCGTCATGATCCTGCGCTCCCGGTTCCTGGATGCGCGGTGAGTCCCCACCAGGCGGTTCTGTGCTGGGAGAATCCCTGAGCCAGGGGTGGAGTCAAAGGTTCCGTTTTTACTGTGTTAAATGCTGGGCCAAATGGCAGCATGGGGAAGGTTCTTAGGACAATGACGGAGGACTGTGAGAGAGGACAGACAAGCCATTGGGTTTCTGCAGCTCCAGGACAACGTGTGCTTGAGGCAGTGGTTTTTATCACCCACTGCTACTCACTCCAAAGCAAAGGTGGCTTGGCTACAGTGACAGAAAAGGCAGGACTTTCTGTTTTCATATCACCAGGCCCCCCTTTTATAGGTCCACGTTGTAACTATGGCCCATAATGTTTTTCATAGACACTGCAGTGACCCACTTGCCCCCAGAAAGATGGCTCCGTCTGAGGGCTGGGATCTTTTCCATATACTCTGTATAGGCAGAGACCGCACTCAGTTCAGTTCAACAAATATTTTTAAGTATATTACCGTGTACCACACTCTGGGCTGAGTTTCAGGAGTGCAGAGATGAATAAAATGTGGCCTCTTAAGCATAGAGGGGGCATAGAGGAGCATAGAGGCTGGTCTGGCCTGGGCCAAATTTTCAATTGAAATTTGATGTTTTCTGTCTGGCTTTGCCGTTCATGACCTTACAAGTTTGTAGATTTCAGTTTAAGAACCCATGGATAGAAAGGTCCTTTAAAGAAGATAAAAACTGAAAATGGAGAATAAGTAGTCAGTCCTCGGTCCCCCTACTCTCTAAACCAGTGGACTTAATGCAAATCCATCTGATTCCTTTTGCTTCTGTTATCCAGCCTGTAAGATAATGATAATCATATCTTTCATCTCCTCTAGAAAGTAATTGGTAATTGATCTAGCAAATGTGTTTTCTGTGCATGGGTCTCCTTTGTGACCTGCAGTTCATGTGAAATTAGCCATCTCCTAAAATTGTAGATTTCAACATGCATCATTTCAATTCCTGAAAATAATCTCAATCTTGTGATTTTTATCATTAAAGTGTTAGAAGTGTCAAGATTCTATACCATTTCATGATCTAGAGTTTTATCCCTTTGCAGTCAGACAGAATGATTCACACATCTTTCTGAGTTTTTTCACCCCTGAAATCATGCATGACTCAGCTCTCTTACCTGTACTTTTCTCTCTGTTCACAACTGGTTTTTACCAGTCCACAGATCTCTTTAAAACTCCCTGGCATCTCCTAAAACTCCCTTCTATTTGGGATAGCACAGTGTATCTTTGGGCCAATACATGTCCATAGAGTAAGTCAAGAAAAAGTAGAAATAAAGATAGCGTTTCCCAGCTGGGCATGGTGAGAAGGGGAGAAAGCCAGAGTCCATTTGAAGCAGGGCCCGTGGGCTTCCCTCGCCTCGGGGGCCTGCTGCCAGCCTGGCTTCTTCAGAGCAGGCTGCTCTGCACCGGGCGAAGGGCAGGTGACTGGTGGCCTCTGTCTGGGCTCCTCCCCTGGGCTGCAGCAGCCGCCACTTGCATGTGTTGCTTCCATCCCCATGGTAACTCCCCTCGTTAAAATGCTGGAGTTGGTGTTTATGTTGGCAGATACTGAAAAAAAGCAAAGTCGGGCCCAGACTGAATTCTTTTCAAGAAAGAACTCGGGAAGGGCAGCAGGGAGTTAGGATCATTGTCTCGTCCGATTTCTCCTCGCAGGAATTGTACTGTGCCCAGTTAAAGGTCAGACTCTAAAAGACGCAGAGCTAGAGCTTCGTACACGGCTCCTGTCGTGTCCACCAGTCTTTGCCTAGACGGTTCCAGTCGGCATGAGAAAGACAATCACTGTAAGGGAGAGTGTCTTGCCTGCTTGGGTTGCAACCTTGGAACCCTTGCCCCTGAGCCGAGGTTCAAAACTAAAACAACTAACTTACTGTCACTGTTATTAGCATTTATTTTGAGGGTATATTTGGTATCTGTAAAAGAATAAAACCCCACATGCCAGCCAAAGGCTGGGCAAATGGCTTTCTCAACTCAAAAATAAGTGTTTGCCCAGGCCGCCTGATTGGTTCAGTGAGTACCATCACGTCCAGTGCTATAACTGGGAGGAGAGCTGGCCAAACAAACCTCAGTGAGAAAGACATGCTCACAGCTGATGTTCAGGAGCTACTCCCAACCATGCCTCTGACCATCAGGGCTTCATCAGGAAAAGATTTCATGGAAGGCAAAATACAAGGAGGGGTTGCTCTAATAGCAGCATGAGTGTTTGTCACAGAGGGGGTGTACGGAGTCCACCCCTTCATTGGGTGTGGCATTCCAGGTGTTAGTTCTCTATTGCCGAGGAACAGATTTAGCTGCTCAAAACAATACAAAGTTACAATCTCATAGCTTCTGCTGTTCAGGACCCTGCACAGGGCATTACTAGATCCTAAAGCTGTGATCTCAGTTGACGCTCGGGGTCCTCTTCCAGCTCATTCCAGTTATTGGCAGAATTCAATTCCTGGCAGTTATAGGACTGAGCCCCCCAGCTCCTGGAAGCTGTCCTCTGTGTAAGCAGCTCACAGCAGGGCTGCCTGTTGGCTTCCTGGAATCTTGCCATTATAAGGCTTCAACCTAATCTCCCTTTTCATTGACTCAAAGTCAACTGGCTGTTAACCTAATCACGGGAATGATGTCCTGTCATTTTCACAGCCCCACCCACACTCCACAGGCCGGCATCATGTACACCCACCATGGAATCTTGCAAACCTTAAAATTCTGTCTTCCACATGCAGCTGAGCACTTGGCCCAGGTGTGTCCTCTCAAGTCACATCCTTTTTCCTTTCCTGGACTTAACTGTGCCAGAAAATTTTAACAAACTTTCCATTCATCCATTCATTCAACATTTATATCTCATGCTGTGTGTCAAGCATTGTGCTGTAAAATTTGTCAAAGTTATTATTAGGACTCATACAGTTTTCTTAGTTGAAGGAGAGAAAGAACTTATACACCCTCCTATGTATTTTTAACTTTTTAGATAACTTTTTGCTGGAGATAACATAAGAAAATAAACAGAATGACACCTCTGTGCTTCACCCTGACAGAGGGCATTACTTAAACTGAAATAGCAAGGAGAAGAATGGCAAGGAAGAGGAAAGGGCATCCTGTGGCATCTGCGCTAACTGGCACTGTATTTTGGTGGATTTTTCTCGTTCTTACACTGGGCCAGATACTATATTAGCCACTGGAATAACGTAGACTGGAAAAAAAAAGACTCTAAAGGGGACCCTACTTCTAGGACAAGCAGACATTCTTACAACTGAACATAGAACTACGTTCACACATGAAGTATGTCTACCGACTACCCGAAGCGGAGAGAGAGCCAGGAAGGGGGCAGACGGTATGAGTCTTAGAGGAGGAGTTTTGCTAAAGAGAAGGGGTAACATGAGCAAAGTAAGACAATATTGTTCAACTTCAACAAGCATTTGCTTACTGTGTGTTCGGCTCTAGGGTTTCAAATATGGGGAAAAAGGGCTCCTGCCCTGGAGGCGTTTGCTGGTTAGGAGATGTAGGCAAGTTTTCAGTGAATACCACAGGGAGGAGTGTGGGAGAGAGGGTGTCCTGAGGAGGCACAGGTGCGGGAACGTCACGGTGCCTGGGGGCGGGGGCGAGGTAGCATGTGGTGGGACTGGATGAAATTAGGCAGTGCTCATTAGCATTGGGAGAAATGAGGCACTCTGAATGGGACGGATCCACTGAAAACTACCCCCGTGAAGATTCTGAATTTGTCCTGTCAAGTGGCAGAAACCCTCAGAGCTATTTAAGAAAGGAACATGGTGATTGACAGCCTAAGTTCTCGAGTCGCACTGCTTGCATCCAAACGCTGGCCACGGCCCTGACTCCCTTTGTGTCCCAGGGCAAGTGATGTCTCCTCCGTGGGACTCCATTCTCATATCTGTCACAGGACAATAATCTATACACAAGAATAAATAAGATAATATGGAAAAAGAAAACCTTAGTGTCTGAAACATAGTATTCGTACAATAATTCTCCAATATAACAAGGATCGCTCCATTATGTATTATTAGGCATTTATTGTTATTATTGTAATAGACGTGCTCAGATCCCTGGGTTGGGGGAATTACTCTAGTAATTGGAAAAGAGACGAGGTAATCGGGGACCACGGGTGAGGACTGAGCTCCTAGGCTCGGGTGATACCGAGTAAGTAGGAAATACCTCCCCCCATTTTACTTAAATATTTTGGAGGAAATACTCTCATTTTAAGATAAAGATTGTTATTGTACAGAATAGGAGGTTTGAAAACCTTCTTGCTTTTTTAATCCGAGGGAGTTTTACCCGTCCACCTCATGCTTTGCAGGAGGGGACGCTCAGGTTACCATTTCTGGAGAGCACCAGTTTAGAGCGCCACTGTCTAGTGTGTGGCATTTTGATTCTCAGTTTAAATTAATGAAGATAAAATGAAATAAAAATGAATAACATGTAAACACTTGTCTCCCCAGTCACACGAGCCCCATTTCAGCTGCTCCGTAGCCACACATGTTTGAGGGCTGCTGTCGGACGGCTGAGGGCATAGAACGTTGTCTCATTGCGGGTCGGGCTGTCGACAGCTCAGGCCAGAACCATTCTACAAGGGGGGCGGTGGCTTGTCTAAACCCATTTTAGAAATAGCAGTGACAGTAAGAACAGAACAGAAGGGATGGACTTGAAAGAACAGAACCAGCAGGACTTGCTTTGGGACCAGTCATTGTCTGTTGAAGGCACAACAGCAACAAAAGTCAAAAATCACTTCTGATTTTCAGCACGTGCTAGGGACTCAGATATTTGAACGATGCATGAACAAATGAGCAGGTACAGTAAGCCGTATCTGTGGCGATGTCATTACGTAAAGCGGGGAACAAAGGAAATGGAGCCAGCTCGGGGTCTGGAAACAGAGCTCGTTTGAAGCAGTGTGGCGTGCATGGTGAATGGGAGGGTGGCACGCAGGAGAGGCCGCCGGGCAGGAGACAGCCCACTCGGCTATTGGCAGCATCGTCTGCAGAACCTCCACTTCTCGCTCCTGAATCCTTCTGACCCAAAAGGTTTCGCCCCTAAAATGCCACATCTATCCAGTATTATTTAATCAACTCCCACGTTTCTTAAATTAAAAACCTACATACATGATGCTCAAAACTTTGGATTGGCTTAAAATCACAAAGGTTAACTCCCCAAACTGATAACACTTGAAGCCAAAGTAAAGACACCTGGAGTCTGAGCTCAAATAACCTATCGTCCGAAGTATATTATTTTCACTAGGTTGCTTGAAATTCTAAAAACTCCTGAGCCTGAGATTTCAAAGGCCCTTGATGAAGACAGGCCCTGGAAGGGGTGCTAAGCCAGTCAGTCAGAGGAGGAGAGACCTCCTAGGGAAGGTCACATGTCACGATGGGGCAGAGCCGGGAACAGCGGTCTGCACCGCCCGTCTGCCTCCAGCTTGTTCCAGAGGCTTCCTCCTGGCTCCGCTGGAATAGTCCCAAGAAATACACCGAGATGCTGACGCAGACAACTGGCCGAATGAACTGAGGTTCTCCCTGCCTTCAGGGTCCAGTTCCCGGCCCTAAAACAACTGTTTTCTTTATGCCCAGAAGAAGCCAAAGGTTATCTAAAGACCAGCCCGGAGACCTTGATGGCCAGTTGGCTGTCTCCCTCAAACTTCCTCCAGATAAGAAATGGGCATTGTTAATACCCGCCTACCTTTTTAGTTGGGCTTTTTAATCCGGTCTGCCCAGTTTCTGATGCTGGGTGACCCAGAAACTCAGCATGATTTGGGAGAGGGACTTGGGCATGGAGTGATCTGGACAGATGTGGCTGATACCTGTGGACAGATGGTGTTCATCCGGTAAAATCAGGCACTTGATTGTGTTAATTAATCCAAGCGGGACCCTGAAAATACACTATTAGCTGAATTTCCTGACTATGAAGGTGGTCAGTGCTTGTCTGTTGGCTAAAATGGGGAAATTCTATATCCTGGCATAACCAAGGATGTTACGGAAATCTTCTTTAGAAGGAAAAGCTTTTGATAAAGTCAAGAAAAGTGCTAAGAGAGCTAATTGAGAGATGGATCCCCAGCAGCTCAAGGGTGGGGGTGCCGACCAACGTCTGCACAGCTCCCCAGCTATTCACAGGCCTGAGCTGTGAGGAGGCTACAAAGTGATTCTCACTTTAAATTAGTTCAATTAGCACTTTATTTTTTAAGGCAGAAAAATGCTTTTATTCAAAAATGGTTTTCTTCCTTTCAGCAACCTGTACATTCAAAGGATTTCTGCAGGCTTTTGTTTTACCATTTAGCAGCTGTTCCTGCAGAAGAGGGCCCTTTGCTCCTTTTGAGGAAAGCCAGGCAGTCGGGGTTCATTTCAGTCCCTTCTGTACCCTCTTGCCCAGAGAGATGTCTTTTAAAAATGATACGTGCACACACGTGGGGGATGGCATAAAGAGGAAGTGTTAACTTACAACTTACTTTTAACTTAGGGCTGCAGAGTCTCTGTGGGATCGCCAGGAGGCAGTCTGTGTAGAGGACAGAGGTGGGCTTCTGCTGACAGGCAGACCTGAATTAATATCTTGTCCCTGTAACATACTTGCTGAGTGACCTTTGGACTCAGTTCTTAAATAGGAATGACCATATCCATCTCACTAGTTGTGAAAAATGGGTAACGTGATTGTTTTGAGGAGCAAAGCCCAATGTCTGGAACCCAGTAGGAGCAAACTCTGCCACCACCACGCCCTGGCATCAGCCACACACCAGCGCCACGCCAAGCGCTTCCTGTGTGCGACCACGTTGCTCACTTACTCTCGCTCACGAGCTCGGTGTGGCTCTCCTTGCTTCTGTGGAAGAAGCTGAGGCTTAGAGAGGCACCCCAGATCCCCCAGCTGGCGGCCGGTCGGTCCGGGATTCAAAACCGGCATGGCTGGGTTTTGACACTTTGTGCCCCTGGCTGTACTGCAAACACATTTCTGACCGGTAGTGAGACCGACGGTGTGCAGTGAAGTACTCAGCAAGTGCTGTTCATGACGGTTCGTCATCCAGCCCCTTTGTACAGCTCTCCTCTAATCCGCATTTTGCTTAAAAATGTCTTCTCCCAGCATCAGATCCTCGTCTCTCCCTGTTCTGTGTATTTGATGTCAACCCTTTGTCATCCTTGTTTCTTTCCTTTTTATGAAGGCGGAAGAGACGGAATTTCAACAAGCAAGCAACGGAAATCCTGAATGAATATTTCTATTCCCATCTCAGCAACCCTTACCCCAGTGAGGAAGCCAAAGAGGAGTTAGCCAAGAAGTGTGGTATCACGGTGTCCCAGGTAAGCACCCTCAGAAGGCTCAGCCGGGGGCCTGGCGGGGGCAGGGCCGCCTGGCAGGGTCTTGAAGGTCTTGCTGTACTGAACTTTATTGCCTTGCAAGTTCCATCACCTGCGGCCCTAAAATGGCAAGGTAAGCACACGATGTGCGTGAATAAGAGCGTTCCCAGGGAAGTCCCTGGAAAAACTTGAGAGGGCCGGTCAGAGGCAGGAGTGCAGTATTACAAAGGGCCCGCGTTCTTCCCGCCACGGCTCCATTCTTCAGATGGGTGGAGGGTCTTACGTGCACTTGGCAAGCTGTCTGCACTTCCTGTGTTGTTTTCTCAAACATAGTCAATTCCTTAGCCCCTTTTTTGCCCAACTCAGGAATTTTAAGAGTCAGTGAATGAAACTTTTAAAGAAAGGGAGGGATTCAAATGTCTTCAGACTCTGGAGTGCTCACCCTGTAAGTAAGGTGTAGGAATTTTAACATGTCACTAAGATGGCATTGAGATGGTTGCACAAAATGTCACTGAGTATCCCCTGCCCCCAAAGGGCAATGACCATCACAGGTGCCTGTTGACTTGGACAGATACATGATAGGAAACTTGTACAGACCTGGAGTCTTCAACATTATTAAGTAAGGCATCTTTATATGAATATTTTGTCTACTCAGAGGATCCCTCCATCCAAACTTCTTCTTCAGACTGAACCCTCAAATATTGCCATCATCTCTGGTTGAGAAACTATCAGAGAAAGTTTTCCTTTGAATTTTTTCACATGCAAGAGAACCAGGTGTGCAGGTATTTCCCTAAAAGGGACAGGGGAGCTGGGGAGAAACTTCACCAACGTTTTCCAAGAGAAGTAGGGGCTGTTTTGTATAAACTGAGTATCTGTACCTCCCCGGATGGAGTCCTGGCTTCTCTCACCCACACAGGGTGCTGATTGCCATCCAGCTGCATTCAGCCTAGCAGGATTAGGTCTAGTGAGAACGCAGAACTCCAGCCAGGCTGTGGAAATACCTTCCAGATACGACAGAAAGAATCTTTTCCTTTGTAACTCGTCTAAGGAAGGTCTGAGTTAGAGGTTGTTCAGCTGACAGTCATTTCCAGTCCAACCACCCTGGAAGAGCAGAACACCAGCAGCTGCACCCCAGCGGCCTGATGTTGCCGAGCTCTCTAACCATTCTTGTCTAGAGGTAGATCCCTTGTCCACACAAAAAGCAAATTGCCAGTCTTTTGCTGCTTGCTGCGTGTTTGAGGCGTGCTTCCAGGGATGAGCCACATGTCTGGCTCACAGTGCGTCTCAGTCATGCAATCTTCTGCTTCTGCTTCTGAAGTAGAATTAAGTCATTTTATTGTCTGAATTCAGATTCTGGGATTTCGGATCGCAGTCCCTGGCGGAGGTGGAATGCACTCCTCAGGAGCTAGTCTGTACTATATCTAGATTGACGATGGACTCCTGGTCTGGCCCAGCAACCCTCACTTCCTTCATCACGGAAGCTGAAGGCACAAACACTTTGTCCATTGACGTGATTATGTATATACTGTGCAGACTGCGCCACCCCCTCCAGACCATGCCGCCATGCTCCGTGCCCCGTCACGTCATTCCCTCCCAGCAGCAGCCAGCCCCTTCACCACGGCAAGTCCCAGTGGGAGGGAGGGAGTGTGATACGATACTGTAGAAAGAGCATGTGGCCAGGAGCCCGTCCGAGCCGGGAGTCAGCTGTGGGATTGGAGGGAACCACTCTTTTGGGGTCTTAGTTGTCCTGTCCACCAGCCGTGGTTCCTGGGGCCACACGTGTCAGATCGCCCTCCTGTTCCCGGATCTAGGGGACACCTTTCCGGGCTGCAGGGCTCATGGGCTGGTTGCTTTGAGTTCAATCACCCCTTCATCTTGAGATTCTCCTGCCGTGGCTTCCTGGGCCCTGTCCTCTCTGGAGCTTCCTCCTTCTCCTTGAGCCCCACCCGCTCTGTCTTCTTGGAGGACCTGCCGTCCGTCTCTCTCCTACTTCTCTTAGCCATCACCTCTTCATGCCCTAGCCCCTGGTTCTTAACCATTTTTTTAAGTCACAGATTCCTTTGAAATCTAATTACCATTGAGTCCCCGCCTTGATCCAAAACAAAAACCTGCTCATACACCAAATCCATCTGAGGTCCCTCTTTGACCACCGTCTCCCTTGACCCCTAAACAGCACTTCCTCTCGGAGTGTGATCCGTAGGACGCATATCAGCAGCACCCGGGCGCCTGAGAAACAAAAATGCTTAGGTCTCACCCCAGTCCTGAACCAGATTCTCCGAGGGTGGGTGGAGGCTTGAATATCTGTTTCCCCTGGGGCTCTGCCCTCAGGCTTTCAATCTCACTATGTCCAAAACTCTCTCCAGAGGATCTATGATTCCTTTTGTGTGTCTTGTCTCACACTGGACCTGCCTTCATTGTATCCGTAGCGCCTGGCTCAGAGCAGGCCCTTAGTCATAACTGAACGGTGAGTTAATGAATGAAAGCTCATTGTACACACGTGGGAAATGCCCGACCTGCTACCAGCGGTGTTCTCGTGTGTAGGGAAGTCATTCCACACCCCATCCCCGCTCCTGCCTCTTTCCTCTCATTTTTCTCTCCTGTGGCTGATTTAATTAGACCTCAGGCATTTCCTTTCTTCCTCAAGAGCCCTCCCAAACCACATCTCGCCCCGTTTCTTCCAACTCATCCAGTTACCTCAGGAAAATCCCCTTACCTCTTTTCCTCTCTCTCGTCCACCGAGAAGTCAAAAAACAACCATAACTATGATTCATTCATGTGAGTTGTGAAAGTTATGCCAAGAAAAGCATGAGTTTTGCAGTGAAATTAAATACGTAGTGGTCCTTAAATGGACCCAGGCATACTCTTCCTCTCCTGGTTTCACGCTGTCTCTAGGCACCAGCATTTACAATAAATAAAGCATGTCCTTACCAAATGTTTTCCCATCTTGTTTGCTAAAATTGCAACTGGATGGTTGGATTTTTTATAACAGAGTCTTGCTGTTTCTGCTGTAGTCGAAGCTGCATAGGTATGGAAGGCCTAGCCTTCTAAGAATCTTTTTTTTTTATTTTGTTAATGCATTTAAAAAATAAATGCAGCTTTGCAAGAATTTTCTTTATCTGTTATTGTTGGGGGTAAATATAAATTATTTGTAAGCTGTGGTACATGTGACATCTTCCCTCACCAAATTCATAGTTTGTTTTGTCATTATATGAAAAGCACAACATATTAGTTTGAACTGACATCTGGAATATGGGGTACAAATCTTCCCTTCGTCGGGCGGGAGTTACAGGGGAAAAACTTGCATTTCACTGTGTCTCCACTTGTGTCTGGCAGTGGTCTTAGTATAAAGAGAACGGGGTGTGCACTCAAGCCAGGACAGCTGCTGGGAGCCCATGTAGGAAATAAATGAACAAATGAAAGTAAATTAGGTTCATTTTGTGTGTATTGGCTTTAATATGTAAAGCATGGCATTCAAAGGAATAATCAGTGGGATGCTCCCGTTTTTCCATGTGTAGATAATACATAGGCTTTGCACAAAATTTTAGTGAAATCTGTTGGACTGAATTAACATGGATCCCTAAGGTTGTAGTACCGTGCGGCTATGAATCTAGTCCATATTAAAGTCATTTAATAAAAACGTGAAATTAATCCCCTGATCAAAGAACCCATCTGCGGTTACAGATTCTCAGGGATGTTTAAAGGTCTGTGTGTTTCGATTGCCCTGAGTCAGCATTAACGTTTGTTAAGTGACAGGTGTTTCTTTGAAATGCTGTGTTTATTTTTGGTGTCATATCCTTAAGAGGTAAGCAAATTAAAAATGCCCGCCCTACACGGAAAGGGTCCTGGTTTAAATGAGCAGCTCCTTCATAGGAAAAACTTGGTTACAGTGGTTTTTGCTAAATTGCATTCTATTAAGCCAGAGGATCCCATTTTATACAGTTGGCCCTTCGCGAAGCTCTTACTTGCCATGTTTTCACGGATGCTGAGAATCAGAAATAAGATAAGACCGATCGGCCTGCGTCTCCAGCCCCCTCGTGCAGCCCTTCCTCTTCGGTGGTGTTTGTACAGATGACATGGTAACTGCTCCCTCTTCTCTTCAACTGCTCTAGGTATCAAACTGGTTTGGAAATAAGCGAATCCGGTACAAGAAGAACATAGGTAAATTTCAAGAGGAAGCCAATATTTATGCTGCCAAAACGGCTGTCACCGCTACCAATGTGTCAGCCCACGGAAGCCAAGCTAACTCGCCCTCAACTCCCAACTCCGCTGGTTAGTTTTCCCTTTGACTTGGGGGCCACTGTTCTCCACTTTCACACTTGCTTCTCCCGACACCGGGGTTTTCTTTTCATTCCTTAGGTGTCTGATTGGTTGATTTATGCATTTGATTTTCTTCTTTGTGCCACTTCGGGTTTTTATTTCCCAAGGGCAGCGTGTTTTCCTGTTGATAATAACGGGCTTGTCTGGAGGATCGGACGAATGTGTCTGACTCGGTCGGAGGTCTGTTGGTTGGTTGTGACCCGAGGAGACCTCCAACTTGTCTTTTCAAAGATGCCAGGAAGCACGTAAGCCTGACCTAAATGCTTAGAGGTGTCCCGTGGGAGTCCAGCATTTAGTCTGTTTCATAGGAAGTTTTTTATCTTTGTCTATCATCACATATCATCTGGAACACCTACTAGTGTGCATTCTATGCAGGATTATTCACTTTTCCATTGAAAATCTCATTTGAATGCTCCGGGCTGCAAAGCCAGGCGACCATTAACGCCATCCCTTGTTTATAGTTGGCGTTCTTTTGGAACCTCCAACGTTGAAGGGTCACAAATGTAAATGTGTTTTATTTTGTTGGCTTTCTTTATGTAAATGACAAAGAAAACTGCCCGTCATTCATTCAGGTTATTCAGATTCTGGTTTTCTTGTTGTAGTGTCACTCATGGGCTGTACTCCCGCTTTCATTTTAGTGAATATGCATTGTGTCACTAATTCCAGAATTTAGGCTAGCATAATGTATTTTTGGGTGTGCCTCATACCTCCAGTTCTGAATTTTCACATGTAAGAGAAACATAGTCAGCAATGCCTAAAATAGAACATTAGTGTTTGTATGTATGGAAAACATGTTGGTACTTTTTATTTGTATAAGGGAGTACCAGAAATATTTTCCTTATTAAATAAGCTTTGTCTCAGATTTTATTTTCTGCTCTAATGAACCAGATCCATTGATTTTTGGCTGTAGGGTACACATCGAAGAAAAATGATACCTCCAACATTGAAGGGTCACAAATGTAAATGTGTTAGATCCTCATGTGAACTAACCTTTCTGGGGCCTTGTGATATCTTTGACCCCAAAGCTCACTTGTCTGTTAAAACAGTAAGCTCGCTTTCTACCTTAACGGTGGATCATTACTGGAGAGGTGCAAGGCTCCACACTAGTGCCTGTGAGCTTCTGGATGCACTAATGTGTTGCAAGGTTCTCCGAGTCACTGGACTATATCATCCTGGCCACCTTTTGTTTAAATGGAATCATGCATGACAAGTGGCCTGGGCTTTGTAAACATAAGGACAGGAAGACAATGTAATGTTCAGTACAGTTTTATCTTTCCCAGCATTCCATGTTGGGTGACTCGAAGGAGCATGTTTGCTCTTTGAGGTTTTCATGTGTATGCGTTTCCTTCTTTTCCCAACATGGTATGATTGACGGAGGATCCAGGCTAACAGATTCCATACACAGAGTGTCCTGCCTCCCCTTCTGGTCAGTCATTAAGCATTTCAGACCCAGCAACACTCGTTGAATTGCCCTGCTAGGCAGACCCGTTTGCTTGTCTCTTTGGAAGAAGTGCAGTTCTGTCAACATTAGCAAAAACACACTCACCGCTCCTGCAAAGGTTATCGTAATGCAGAACAGGTATCAGAGTGACTCCTTCCTGTCCCTGATGTATCTGCGCTGACGACACCTGAGCGTGATTTATGACTAGTCCTTAGAAAGATCCGGTGGACTCCCTCCACTACTAAATCCAGAACTGTTTATTCTTCCTAAAGCACTGAAAAAGAGAAAAGTAAGCATTTTAAGCCCCCCAGTCTGTGTGTAAGAATTATTTTAGCTCTCTTGGAATATCGGTCTGTGATTACAGTTTTCTAAGGAAATTTTCTGGTGACTCAAAACTTCATGTGACTGTTCTGAACACAAAGTAAATTATTATGGAAAGTATGTTCTTGAAAATAATATGCAGAGGAACCCTTTGCTGTGCTTGTTTTAAAACGCCATTGTAGATGTGTAGTAATGTGGAATTCTAACAGGCAAAGTTATAAATGGGCTTTTTATAAAAACGTTTTCTTTTGCTCTTAACCCAAATCATTGCACAGATAAAGTGAGAACTTTAAAATGTCCCAACTTTTCACGTAACGATGTTTACAATGTTGCATCCTAGCTCAGCAATAGTGCCAAAGATAAATGATCATTAGAACAGATAGCAAGCTTTTAAACAAGTGTTCATAGGTGAAAATATATTTTGGCTCAGTTTGAAGCCTAGAGTTTCAGGAGCCTGGGAACTTTTTATAATCCTCTGTATCGAAACAGGGCTTTTTTTGTTTTTGTTTTTCCAGAACCTTTGCTAAATATAAATACTCAGTGCTGCTGTAAGGAGGATGCTTTGCAAGGAAGTCTTTTCCCCTCCAGTGGCTTTTGTGTGGAGCAGCCACAGTATCTCTATTTAGGCTTCTGAATATTCCTTCTTGTTGGTGTATCCTGGCCTCCTATCACCTTAAACATCATTCATAAAAATCACTGAGGATGAAGACCAGTGGGGAGATAAGCAGGCATTTAGAGATACTTGTCCTGTTTCAGATTTTACACCGGCAGAGTCGGACAAAGTGGACGGAGCAAAGAAGAAAAATAAAAGAACTATAAGAAAATTAAACATGTGGGGGAAAAATAGGAAGCAAAAAAGGGGGTGACTGAAGCAATAGTTATAACCCTGGGCCCATAATTCTCCTGGCATCACCTGAAGTGACAGATTCTCAGTTTCCTATTTTTGATGAAATTCTGAGAGCAAGAATTAAGATCTCAGAAAAACAGGGCCCCTTTAGGAAGGTTAGATTATCTCCTGGAGAATGTTTTAACATCCAAGAAGAAAGAAATGGGCTTGTGCATTATAGCTGTTGGCTGGCCCAGAGAATCTCTGTTGATACTTTATCAGGTTCTGTGGTTAGCTAAGCAATCCCAGGCTTACTGAAGCTCAGAACACCCTGGATTTGAAATCTGCTTAGCTGTGTGTCAAGAGGACAGCACCTTGTTCAGCCATAGAACTTGTTCCCCTGACACTGTAAAGTTAGTGGCAAGCCCTTGCACACGTCCTTATTACCGCCCCCAGTAGGAGGTTTGGTGTTTTTCTGCATTATCCAAGTAAAACCCTGGACGCTGGCTTCCAAAGAGAAGTTTATATACAGTATGCACAGTGAGAGAGGAGGTAAGACATCCAGGGAAATTGACTGGCACTTTCCCTTTTAGTTCTAAAAACTAAGTGCAAGAATTTAGCCTATTGATGGTTTCTGCTGTGTTCTTCCGTTCTTATGTTTCTCCACTTAATTTCTAAGTGGAAAACGAAAGCACGGCCTCCTGGAACTGGAACTCCAGAAACTTGCTGTGCACAGCTGCTGAAGGGATTTCACATGTGACCAGGCAACCCCTCTTCCATACTTCACCCTGACAGAATGTCACAGTGATTTTTGGAGTTGGGAAGGTGAAGAATTGTGGACAGCACAAAAGCAAGCATGAGACTTAATTAAGTTTACGTCTAGCAAAGAGGCTCTGTGCTTTGAGCCTCCAAATGGTGTGGGAGTCCAATCTGATGAGGCTAGCTAGCCACCTAGTTAGTCTCTCTGGAGCCTTGATTTCCAAACTGTAAAACTGAGAACAATATTCACCATATATCTGCTCCATAAAAATGCTATGAGACATAATGAGCTAGTGCTTTCCAACACTTCAAGTTCCCAGGGAATAAAGAATGAATCCATTCTTGCTCTAGGCTATTGGTTCTCAACTGGGGTGAACTTGGTCCTCAGGGGATGTTCAGTAACGTCTGGAGATGTATTTGGTCATCACAGTTTTGGGGGTGGGTCTTCCTGGCACCTCGTGAGCAGAGGCCAGGGATGTGGCTGACCATCCTACAATACGTAAGACCTTCCCCCACGGTGCAGAATTACTAGCCGCAAACATCAGTAGGGCCAGCACTGAGGAACCCTGCTCTCGAGTTAGATTTTGTCATCGGATTCTGTTCTATTTCTCATTAGTATTTTTTGGATGATACAGTTAATTTTTTTCCCTTGAACAAGTGTAAGTCTCCCAGTGACTCCGTGGAGTCGAAATGCAGCCTTGGGGAGTTGTCTTAAGAAAGTGGATGGTCACACATCTCACATCCTCGTGTGTGCCTGAGCAAGTGTGTAAGAATCCATAGGCGGTCCGTTATTTCTTCTCTGTCTAGCTGAGGGCAGCTTTACCCCTGCACATGCCCCTCGTGTCTGGGTGGCAGCCTAAACGAGCCACTTGCCTCCCTTCCCAAGTCAAATTCAGAGCCTTTTAACTGGTAAGCACATCTTAAAATGTGCTTCTAGTAATCGCCGATTATTTAACAGCCGCCCACAGGTAAGGTCCCCGACTGACCTCAGCAGGCCAGGAAATCCTTTCAGCTCTTTGCGAATTCCACAGCGCCTCCAAGAGAGCCCATTCGTTATTTGTCTATGAACTGCATCCTTCCCGGGAGGTTATCCATTCCCTGATAAGTTTCCAACTTCCAGGCCCAGATGAGAACATGTCTTCCGCTCATTATTTAGATTTTTGTGTGGACTTCTGTCTGCTTTATTAGTAGCACCTGGTCGCCCCTCCAGAGCAATCACTGCCTCTAGCTACTTATCAGCGTCAGAAGCCATGGTTGTGTCGCACTCGGGTGTACAGAGACTTCAGAATGCTGAAACAGCAGAGCCGAGAGCACAGGGCCTATTCCTGCAATTACTGCTCTGATTCAAATGCATTTGTACATGAAGTGCATTGGTATGCGCATATTTATCTCCATGTACATTAGGCAGCCAGACCTATTTACTATGTATCCATGCGCACACAGTTTTTAAATCATCGGTGTCAGTTGCAATGTATATCTTGTACATGGCACATTGCAGACCTTCCTGGTTTCACAGATGCCATATCACTGGGCATGAGCGTACCCCTTGCGGGGCTTCTCCCTTGTCTTAGTTTGCGTGCTCATTTCCAATAAGCCATCCGCCAAGCATATGGAGTGGGTGTTTGTTACATGGGGTTTGACTGGGAGAGGAACAGAATACCTAGGCTTCAAAGTGAACACTCAGGGGAAAACTTCTGAGATGATATAAATAATGTGGGGTCCTGATGATGGCTCTTCTTGGTTCTGATGACGTCTAAATGTGAGCATGTGTTCTAACAACTGTCACAGAATGGCTTTTATTATTTAGGCTGTATATCTATGCTGAAAAGAAAGATGTGAGAGGGATGTGATCGGGCTATACAGGCCTGGGTATTAGAGAGCTGGGCACGGGAATGCGGCCTGTGCTCCACACTGCTTCCCCCACAGGTCGGGGAGCACATGGGGAAGATTTGTGCCACGTTAGTGGAAGGAGTTCCAGGCCAGAGCCATATACCCAGTCAGATCCTGTGCTTACTTTGCCTAAGACCCCGCTTTTCTAATTGCGTTCAGATCAGCTGACAGAGAGACGTGTCTCAGGTGAGGCAGACCACGTTGCAGAGCTGCGGAGATGTTACAGCTCTCTGGCTGGTGCCTGCGTTGTCCCCCACGCCCCAAGGAAAGCATTGCGCCCTTCCCCACAAAATGGGAGTGACAGTGGGAGATGAGCGTATGCAGCTGAATAGCTAGCTAGGTCCTGGCATGGGGGGGAGCAGCCCCCAAAACAGACAAATGGAGATGTTTCTTGACTTAAGGTTGTCCCGAGTAAATCATAGTTTCCTCTAAATGGCTCTTGCCCCTGGAGAACTGAGGATGCTGTGAATAGTTAAGCACAGGGCAGGGTGACAGAGTTTAGGATTCATTGCTAGTTAAGTAGTCCTCATGGGGAACAGAGGAAACCTCCTCTCCTGCCCCGCGGCACCTCTTCCTGCGGGCAGGGCAGCTCCCTAGGAGGGTGCAGATCCCTGTCTTGGCAGAAAAAGAGTCAGAGCAGAGACATTGCAGGTGGGCAATTCCACACGAACGATGGCTGTCTCAGAAAATGAGGGCAAGAGGGCAATTGGAGCAACACAAAGTCAAAAACCATTGAGTGGAACTGACCTGGGTCCCTGAAGTCTCTCCTTTTCCAGGCTAACGTCATGTTTTAACCAAACCTTGCACGTTGAGCTTTCTTTCCTAATGCGCTGAGCTGCACAACGACTTCCAAGTTATAGTGAGCTTTCCCACGCCCTGTGTTTAGGTTGAGGGGTGGGCTGGTTTTACCCCAGTGCAATCAGTAGAATCAGGGTGGTGACTGGAGGCTAACTCTCTCTGGGAGAAGGCTCCCTCTCAGGGGTGAGCACAGTTAACGGCCCTTCTTGAGGCTCATTTTCATAATAATAATAATAATAATAATAATGATTACATTATTATTATTAGCATTTCATAGTTCATGCATGCTTGAGAACTCCTGGCCCATTATTCTGTCTCATCTTCCTGTATAACCGCAGGCGGCAGGGAAGATATTCTTGGGCTGTTCGGCACCCAGCAAGGAACTTACCTTCCTTCTAGAAATCAGGGATGTAGGCGGACTCCTGTCACAGGACCAGCCCTAACGTAGGGCACTGCCTTCATGCATTCCCTGCTGGCGCCTCTCCCACACGAGGGTTGATCGGGTTGGCAGTTGCAGATTTAGAATCCAACTAAATAGCTCAAGTTCTCCATCTTGGTGGCAGAAGTCACTGACCAGCCTAAATTCTCCCATTTGCGGTCCCTTGGCCATCCCCAGAATGTCAGAGGCGTGAGGATCTAGGTCTGGAGACTACCTCCCGTTCAAATAGGCTAAGTTGAGAAGAATAAATGTTCCCTTTCTCAGCCTGAAGTTGCTCGGGGGAAGCGGTCCTAGTGCAACTTGTAGTAAGAGGCGGCTTCACATACCATGGACGCCATGCCCCCCTTATCGCTTGCTCTGTCCTTCATGCTACTAACCAGACTCTGCTGGTGTTAATTGATGTGCACCGACGGGGGGTCGCTTCGCATGCCGTTCTTCCTCTCGGCCGGCAGTTGCAGGGGTCGAGCTTGTTCCTCTCTGTGATTCAGGTACCTCACTCTTTCCTTTCCAGGTTCTTCCAGTTCTTTTAACATGTCAAACTCTGGAGATTTGTTCATGAGCGTGCAGTCCCTCAATGGGGATTCTTACCAAGGGGCCCAGGTCGGAGCCAACGTGCAGTCACAGGTAGGGACCCAGCCGCTGTGCCGCCAGGGGGATGCGCCAGAGCCCGGAGCCCGCAGGCGTTCGGCACGCCCTGCTCCTGCCCAGACAGGGAGAGAGGCAGACAGAGCTGTGGAAACAAAGCGTTACCAACAACCAAACCAAAACAAAGGCAACCACTGTGGCGGGGGAGCTCGCCCACACTTCGTGAGTGCATTTGCTCTGGCTCGCGGGCCACGCCCAGAGGTCAGGAGAGGCGCTGGGGCCAGCAGGTGGGGCCAGCGTGCACTTTGTTCACTAACAGGGAGGGAGGAGCCCAGCCCCTGCCGCACTTTCCAGGTCTCCCTCTGGTCAGCCATTTCCCCGCACTCAAGATTTGCCAAATAAGGAGTTGATTAACAAGTAGGCAAACACTTTAGTGATCTCCTGTTTTCCATTTATGCCTTAAAAACACCAACCAGGTTGACGAACTTCATCTCCTGAGTCATCCCTGAGGTCTAGGGACTTGGGTTTCGGTCACAAGGCAGTCCGTGTTGGAAAGCAGAAGCCAGGCTGCGTGGGGCAGACCCTCAGTGCCCCGTGGTGGCCCCTCGCCCCCACCGCAGCTGCGGAGGCCGTCCTGTCTTGGCTGATGTGAGGGAGCCGGCAGGAGGCCCTGGGTCGCAATTGCTGGGGACCCTCTGAGCCACGCAGTCCAGTCTCCCACCCTGCATGGGCAACAGGAAGCATTACGTACCCGGAGGAGCCCAGCTGGCCAATGACTCAGCTCCCTGCTCAGAAAGTACTGCCTGGAAGCAGGTGTGAGGAGATCCGTTCAGACTTTGGTCAAGCAGCTAAACCACTGGCCATCATTTAAGCCCTCAGAGAGATGGGGCATGGGTCACACAGCCCCCTCTGTGGGGTGGCTGCCCTCACCCCCTTTAAACAGAACCTTGACTTTCATAGGCTGCCCAGCCAAGGAGAAGTTAACTAGGATGTTCTGCATAGAAGGAAAAACTCCCCGCTCTCTCCCCCCGCATCCCTGCCATCTCATGCCGCTTTGTGCATCAGTTTCAGTGCTGGGAATCCCGCTCTCTCTCACCATTTTACTGTCTCACTTGCTGAACTCAGACAGGACATGGATTTGGCATATAGGGGAGGCATGGCCTCCTCCTAATGGACCCCTTCCCTGGAAGATCATCTCCAAAATGATTATGTGAATTCGGCACGTACATGGCAGCCTGGGTGGTGATGCTGTGCCTCCGTTGCCCGGCATCTCCCTGACTAACCTCCTCTCTGTTGTTCATCTGTTTAGGTGGATACCCTTCGCCATGTTATCAGCCAGACAGGAGGATACAGTGACGGACTCGCAGCCAGCCAGATGTACAGTCCGCAGGGCATCAGTGTAAGAAACCGAGGTCCCCCACCCTTTGTTTTAATTCTGTCATTCCCAATTATTTCAAAGCCAGGGGGCTCAGAATGCCACTTAGTAGGACTTAGCTTAGCTTTACGGTCACCTAGTTCCTTGTCTCAGTATCGGCCATGACATCAGCATCGTTGCACCCACAAAAGAAGTGGCAACTGGGCAGGCTTCATGCAGGCAGCTGGCGTCCAGGGCTGTCAGACACAATCAGTGTTCGCATGGCACCTGCGGCCACTTGTGCTCAACTGAGAAGAGCTGCTAAACAGGTGACACCTAGTACAACAGCGGTAGGAAGTTGTCGCCGCAAGCTGGGGCCTGGGAACCTCGGGAGGAAAACCCAGTAGCCAGAATCCATCACATTCAGGTCTGTGGTCTAAATAAGCATCCTTTCTCCACACCATCTAGGGAGAATTAAAAAAAAAAAAAAATGGAA